AACTCGATTGTCTTCAGAAGCAAAAAAAAAATGGCGACAACTCACAGAACGTCATCCATTCATTTCGGTAAAATCCTCGAGCTTACTGATCAGTTCTCTTTATCGTTCCTCTTGTTTTGAAGTTCAAATCTTCCAGTTTTTAATACTAACGCAAAATGTTCTGCGACTACAACGTGTGGCTTGCCAGCAGTGCGGCTGCTTGAGCAGGATGCCTGAGTACGTGGTTCCGATGAAGAACTCCAGTTATATCTCTTTTAAAGCACAGTTTACGATAGAAATGGTTCTGAGATATCCCACTAATTGTAAGATGAATCTGTTCCCCCTCGTATGCCGTATGTGGAACTGTGAGATAAAGGTTCAAACATTGTCCCGTGTGTGTGCGCGGACAAGTTCCAACGGGATTATAGAGGCTGCACCGATCGCAAGGGAATCCATGTTGGAAGTTCAAACAACTTCTCATGACCCATAGCCAACGGGATTATAGAGGCTGCACCGATCGCAAGGGAATCCATGTTGGAAGTTCAAACAACTTCTCATGACCCATAGCGACAGTTCTGAACATCTCATGATGTAGTCAGTTCTTTGCGCGTTTGCAACATTTGAAATCCGTGCGAACACCTCTTCCACGCCATTTCCGTCATGCTAACCCGTCCAACTTCTATTTTCACTACCTTTGAGGAGCTTTGATTTGCACGAAATCTTCGAACCAACTTCTATTTTCACTACCTTTGAGGAGCTTTGATTTGCACGAAATCTTCGAATTTTCTCGTTTTTCTCACCCTCGATGGACTAATTCCTACAAATACTGCAACTTTTCGGCTTAAAAATCGAACCTCAAATTATCGTGAACTGTACCTATAAATGGAACTCAATGCTTTACTAATCACTTATTCACATACATCTGTTATGTGTGAGATGAACTGGTACTCTAATAATTTATGAACAGAGTGCATTTAGTAGCTGTGAGCAGCTTATGAGGTAGTTATTCGAGAAATAAGCGATATTGTGCTCATAACCGCATGAATACGTAAAACCTATCCAATATGTGCTTGGTACAGCAAAAAAAGAGATGCAGACTATTCAAAGTATTCGTTTGCACATAATATTACTAAAGCAACGTCTATGGTAAAACGGATTGTGCACATAGACAAATAATATAGAAAGGAAGACACACTAAATGGCAGCGAAAGTTGCAGTGGGGGACCTCCTATAAGGCTGCCTCGCCTCTTTCTCCCTCTCCACGCATACAACCACACAAAAAGCCCAAATGCACAATTACACTGACATTACAAAGTGGCAAATCATCTCTGCCTATCTTTATAGCCATGAGCATAAGCATAAGCAGCGGAAGTAGGCAAGGTGTGAATACATATGTTTGCTATGACTTGGCGGCTATTCACAGCGGGCTTTGTTAATGGCAAAATGGATGTTGCACATAGACATATCATGCAAAGTGGATGACGAACCTAATCGAAGATGATATGAGGAGTTAGGGCGGCATTTTTGAATGTAAGCAATACCTCTTGTAGTAGCCTAAGAGTTTCTGCTGAAACTGAGCTGGATAATGCTCACTGTTGTTCACGATAGTTAATGTTAGGGTTATTTATATGAAGTTGCTAACTGATTGAATAAACCTTTGATTTTTTGTTTTTGTTTTTCTATTCAGTTTATACGACGAAACGAAAGGGTTCGTCGAAACAGTTCTGTTATACGTTATATCACCAAACGTATAAAGATACTATCAAAGGTATCACTCCGATGAGTTGAGCCCTGCGTTTGGTGGCAGTCCTAGTCGGACCAGTTTCACTGCACCCTTCCTTGGCAAACTTATCTGCTGAACAGAATCGAGAGCCGCAAAGTTCTGAGCAAGATGGACAAGTTATATTGAGTTCAGCTGTGCTATCACGATGTGGGACCTAAAGAAAAACGGCAATTTTAGGTCTCACCAGGGAGGGGTAGTCTACTTATCTTAGAACTTTGAATTCAGACCCAGACAGATCGATAGGGTTTTGAATGCTGTTTACGAAAATGGAAATTAAAACTGCAAAATGATTCTCCTTAAAAAGTTATGGGGCCCGAATTTTGCTCGACAGTAGTATCAATTGTCTAAAGAAATGTCAGAAAACGTTTATAGAGCCTTTGATAAAATGAAAAAACACTTTGCAAAAGTGCGGACAAT